GTAATTTTTCAATGAAAAAAAATTGGGTCTAACATGTAAATATGGATAACTCTATAATTACCCGTATAGGTTGCAGGTTTCCCAAGAAAAATAGAAAAAAATAATAAAAAGCCAAAAAACTTCACATCCTAACATGATAATTTAGATGGATATGTTGTGAATTTAAAAAACAAATACATATATATTTATGTATATTGTGTACATTATATTTATTATTTCCTTTCTAAATAGATACACAATGTGATGCAAAATTTATTATTAGATTTTAAATTTGGAAGTATTATCATAATTTGAGTTTAGAATTATTTTTAAAATTTATTTACCATATTTTAAAGGCAGAAAAATTTACAAATATTTTGGAATTTCCATATTAAGTAAAATAAAAATTTTAGGCTAGATTTTTTTGTCACTATTTAAGGTAAATATTTAATCCCTTTTTATATTAATAGATATAGATATAAATGCATTCATAAGTACGTTGGTATTTGTTTTAATATTTAAAAAATGAAAGCATGATATTTTCTATATGGTATATAAATTGTGCGATTTAAGAAATGCATTAATTTATTAAGAAAATGTTCCATGCATTTTTCAGCTATAAAGGTTTTACTAAATTTGTCCAAACATTGTGTATTTTAAATTTTAATGGTTCAAACTTTAGATTTTTAAAAAAATAAATAAATAAATGGTTTTATTAATTTATGAACTTAATTACATTTTTTAAATAAAGACGATCAATTTCTTCAAAACTTGATAAGGATTTCAAATAATAGATAAACACAAATATAGGATAAAATTTTTTCAACATATTAAGAAAGTGAAAGCGGAAAAAAGGGAAATAATTAAAAGCATAATCGTTAAGATGATATAAATGTTAAAAAATTATAAAAATAATTTAGGAAGTATGATAAAAATAAAGACTGACAAGTTATATATTTGGAAATTTGTAATTAATGATACTGAAATCAAATTTGAAACACTATCTAAAAAATAAAACAATATTCTTTTTTATAGAAAAGGATATTGAATCCATTTTAAAATATTATTCACAATAAGAAAAAAAAAAAGAAATCTATGATCCCAAAAGATCAAGATAAAATAAAAAATAGTTATTTTAACTAATTTTTAACTAACTTCTATGAGGAAGGAAATAAAATCTATACTTTTTTTCATTAAAATTCAAAATTCAAAATATTTTAGAAACTTCTAATTTTAGTAAATTTATAATGCTAATGCTTAGGTGGAATTTTACCTACTGTTTTAGGTAAATACTTGGTCTTATCTATATTTATATATGTATATAGGATGTGGTTCAAATGCAAACTAAGCCTTAGTGTAACGCCCCACTTTTCATACCTTGAATTTCTTGAATAAATTTTTCTTTGAAACAATAAATGGAAAGCTTTACATAAACTTAAGGCGCTACTAAAATAAAAACTTGCAATTCATTAAAACTTAACTTACATTTCGCAAACATATCATGACTTGGCATTACTTTTGAAAACATTAGACATAAAACATAAACTTTCCATGGCAATGCCTCGAGGACTTACATGTAACATTGACTTAACATTGTACTTTGCATATCGATGACATACACTTTGCTTTAAACATGAACATTTCATAAAAACATAACTTATTGCGAAAGCTTAAAACATTATAAAACTTAAATCATTTTTAAACCATATGACCATGTGACCACACTCGCCATCGCTCCAATGCCAGCTCGCCATGTACCTGGGTGTGGAAAACAAGTAGGGTGTGAGCATTTCCACTTACTCAGTGAGAGATCCTTCTAAGTTAACATCCTAACCAACTATCATGCATGAAATCGTTAGGTATACTCAACATAATCATGAGCTCCCGACGAGTGGTTGCCTACAAATCGAAAGACTTTCTTGCTTCTACAACCCTATTAGACAACTAAATACTAAAGTCATAGCACGCACGTGAGTGCACTGTCGTCACACTCCCACCCCTCGTCAAACTCCTTATACCACATTATGGTGGTGAGAGAACGTTGCCTCTCGCAAGTGGCACGGCCAACTAGGCTTGACGACGGTACCTCCCATGGGTTGAAAGAAGACAACCCTCAACAAAGGCTCCGTACGGTCTTATCGACGGGGACAACCGTTCAAAGTGTGCACCAACGAAGGTTACATGCACACACTTACATACTCTAACCCTAGTAGCACCTAGCCACCCTCTAGAGTTATAGTCCGTGAACCTTGGTACTGCAACAAACGACTTGCTCGAATGTTGGAACATTTAATAAACATGGGTACTATGCAAGCTACTTGACTTCATTCAAAACATAGATAATCAAGAAGGATAATAACGTAGAATTTCCCCCACCTTTTTCGGAATGCTTGACTTAAAGGCTTGAACTTGAAAGAACTCGAGGGCTCGACTCCTCGTGACTACAATTCGTTGGGACATATCTTAGAATCTTATCATGGCTTAACTTAAACTCATACTTAGTCTTATATATATACATGAACTTTGAAAACGAGCTCGCTCAGCTTCGCCTTGCTCGCATACTTTGAAAACGTTTATGTTTAAGTCTTTTCGATTGGTGGGTAACTTAAATTGCTTAACTTTTATAACATAGGGCATTGAAAGGTCATATAAACGTCAAATATCATGACATGGATCAGTTATGCTACATAAACATGTTTTTAAACAGTAACAATCAACGTGGAATTCCAAACATGAACTTATACAATTGCCAGCATGCACGATGAACTTAGAATGCATGCAACTTTCAGTCCATAGGTCATATCATGATTATTCTAATTGGACATTATCCCTCACTCATGCCTCTACAACTTTCATGATGACAACTCAGGCAGATAGGGTCATTTAAATGCACATAATACACCAAACATCTAATTCATAGCTGCAGTCAACGATTGAAATAAAACAGCAGATAGGACTTCAGTAATTGCAAGATAAATGAAGCTACAGACATGATTTTAATGAGATTCAAACACCAAAAGGCCTCTAACTCAATTATTGACAATTTTTTTGAAGACCACATTGGCAAATAATGATATTATCATCGAGTGTAAACATAAAACATTCTGTTCATAAAAACTGCCAGGAAATAAGTTGTTCACCTACAGCACTTCGGTAATTCACATTTAAATCAAGCTATGGACCTCATATTCACGTGATTTCAGAAACTACACACATATGGCTACATATCTCATGAAGACCAATTTCACATTTGAGCACGTTTGACACATCAAAGTGGGTCATACATTAAAGGTATATTCTCAGTCCTGACTTCATAAAAATTGGATACACAACTGACTTGTAAAACACATGTAAAATCCATATCAGCTCCGATTCTCAAGATTCTAAAGCCTAGTGAAACCTAAAAAACTTTTCCACATATCTCATGAAGAAAATATTCCCAAGAAATGAGTTCTTGGTAGCCCAAAATTGGCTCACAACAGTGGCCACGAAAACAAAAATTTCATGCATAACTTCAAGAAATCATCATCAATAATCATTCAATTCAACATGGCACATAATCTTCATTAAGCAAGACTTATTATCAACCCTTAGACATTAAACATCTTTTAGAAACACCAAATTGTCCAAGATCTAACTTGGTCTTTCATTAAACATAAAAGAAAATCTTTGAATCTTACATAATTCTCTTGTTAATTTACATATCTTATCATGCTTAATTAATTGAGCATTAAAATCAGTCCTAGGCTTAAGAAAAATACCGTTCTCAGGAAAAGAATCAAAAAACAAAAGAAGGGCTTGAAGGGCTCGAGCTAGGCTATTTGCTCACTCGCGTGCTTGGGGCGATCGTCGGGCGTGAAGGTCGTGGGCTGGTCGGACGTGAGGGACGATCGCGTGGCTGCTGGGACGAGAGAAATATCTCGCTCTCTCTCTCTCTTTTTTCTTTATCTCTTGAAAGGCTTGAAGACTATATTGCGTAGGAAAAATAAATCTCATGGGTGAGGGGTTTTATTTAAAAGGCTAGGTTTAGGAGACTTGGAATAAGAAAAGGATTCCTATTTCTATTTCCATATGAGTGGGATTCTTTGTAGCTTGGTGATCAAGACAAGATTTTGCTCTCCTTTCTTTTCTCAATTCTCACTTGTGATCTAGGGGTGGCCGAATTTTTTATGCTCAATATCTTAGATTAATACTCCTGCTAATTATTGATAAGGCTTTAATTAATTAATCCATCTCATTAATATAATAAAAATTATATTAATATTATGGCTATTTAATACTTTGGAAAATCAAATAGATGAGGACATCTAAATAATTTTTCCAATTATCAACATTTATGAATTAATGAGTGTGGACACTCACTTAATCAATACATGAAAATCGAGCTCAACAATAAAATAAAATAACATTAACAATAATTAAATAATCATAAAAAATATTAAATATGCATAAAATGAATGACACGAGTTCGGGGCATTACACTTAGCGTGAGAACCGTGACAACTGCTATTTTTAATTGTACGTAGTGATGCGATTGATTGTGTTTTAGTGTTATTTTTAACTAGGATGCATTTTATTAAAAATAACAACACAATTTATATTAACATTTATGAAAATGGTAGCACCATGTAATATCAATAATAGCATCATACACTATTAAAAATAGCATCAAATATGGTTCTCACGGTTCTCACACCAGGAGTAGTTTTAGGTTCAAATGAGAATAAAAGATAATGAAAGAAATGAGAATACATATGTGCCATTGGATCCAACATATCAAAGGTCATGATCAAGTCAAATTTATTAAATGGCAGTCAAAGATATGATTGCAATTTCGTAATAACTGCATATATTGTGGTCAAATCTATACATTTGACATTAATTAAGGACAAATTAGATATTTCACATTTTTACCAAATGGCAGTGGGCCCACAACCAAGCCAAACGCACAAACTGTCGGTCTTGCCACTCTCTCTCTCTCTCTCTCTCTCTCTCTCTCTCACGAACACACAGACTGTGTGCTACGTCGGCAGACACCATGATCCCCGCCGAAACATCAACACGCCACCGCCACCGTACCTGCAGCCACCACAGTCTGCCACTGCCACAATGGTATTGACGGCGAGATCGAGGGCATCACGTTGACGCCACGACCAACCAGATGCAACCACATCCTGTCGCAGCCGCCAGCAATCACCCGCCCCGCCACCGCCACCGCCACCATATGACCCGCTGGTCCCGTCGGCTGACGCCTACAACGTCACCTCCGCCGCTAATTTCAGTCGAAGCCGTCGTCTGATCTCTCTTCCAACGATGCGTCTTATCATCTTCTCCAATCTCACGAATCTCGGCGAGGACCATTTGTCCACTGTCATGATGGTAATGGCACTGGCCTGAATTGGCGCCGGCGCCTCTCTGAACAGAATCAATTTTTACAGCATCAACAATCAATTTGTGGGGTTTTTTATTTGGAAATTTAATAAACATTGGGACTTATCTACAATTTTGTACGTCTAAATATATTGCATATTAGTACATGAGATAAATATATAATTTTGTAAAATTCCAGTCATGGACAATAATAATATATAAAATGCACAATATTGTATAAGAACACGCACATTAAGCAAACTGTCGTATTATTACCAATTTACAGAACTATTACCTCCTACACATTTAAAAATTAAACAATATTTACCAAAATTCCACCGTGTATAGGGAGGGTTCATTAGTCGGTTGGTTGAATGAGTCGATCGAAATGTCAAAAAATGAAATAATCAAGTCGCGCGTTTGGAAAAAAACCAAACCATTCGAACTTTTACCCAAACCTAACAACAGCGAACAGAAAAGTAAAAAATCGANTACCATTACTTCTGGAAATGCAAAATAGCGTAACAAAGTGTAATATCATAGTCACTAGCATATTTAGTATTTTAATATTTTATATAAAATATAAAAAAAATAACATTTCAAACCGAAGTAACTGCAAACTTAAAAGTGACAATGTATAATCAATCCAACATAATAGAAAAAAAAAAGAAATCTTTATGGCAACCAGTTTCCATCAGTTTTTTTTTTTTCATATTGGTTAAGATTTTGCACATCCTTATTCTCAGTACATAATGCACGATAACTACATAATGCACGATAACGATAAATTCAATGCACATTAGTACATGTGTAAATGCACAATATTAAATTTGGAAATGCACGATAGCGTGACAGGTTGATAAATTAATTTTTTATATTATTGTTTATAAAATATTAAAAAAATATATCAATTCGAACAGAAATAATAAAAATTTAAAAATAAAATTGATTACCGAACCAACACAAAAAAACAACCTAAAATTTTTATCCCGACCGATTTCATAGTTTTTTTTTTAGTTTTGTGCATTCCGTGGACCAAACATTTTAATGTGCATATACATATCCTACGTTGTGCTTTTTAACTAACATTAATGTGCATTTGTTAAGATTTTAATAAATTGCAATTTTGGCCCATTAATTAAATTGTAAATATATTAAAATATATAAAATTGCACCAAAGTCCTTAGAAATTATCCAATTTTCAGATCTAAGTCCACCATCAAAATCTAGATCCCTTACATCATACAAAAATTGGTCACCCCCGTCTCGTGCATCAAACTGGATTCGCCTGAGCACTGGTGAAATCGTGCTTAGTTGTTGAGATAGTTAAAATCGCTGGACCTAGGGTTCAGTCGGCTGGTGTGGATGGTGAAATGGGGAATAGAGACAGAGGGCTGTACATATATAGCAGGTCGGGGAAGGGGAAGGGAGACATGGCGTGGTTTTGGTCTGTTTGGTATGCGACAGAGGCGGAGAAGATGGTGAGGCCGGCGACTGAGATGTCGGACGATCGGGTGAAGACATGGAGGTTGGAGAGGAATTGGTCGTGGAAGAAGTTGCCGTTGGCTGGAGAAAGACCCACGGTGGCCGCGTGCGACGGCGTCCAGTGGCGTGCGGTGGAGGTTGTGAGGCGGCTGAAGTTCGCTGGCAAGGATGGTGAAATCGGGCCTCTGTTTGTGGTTAATGTTCGCCGGTAATGAGGAAGAAAGACCCACGATGGCGGCGTGCGACGGCTTACAGCTGCGTGCGGCGGCGTGCGAAAGAGGCTGTGAGGCGACTGAAGTTGGCCGGCAAAGAGGGTGAAATCGGGTCTCTTCGTGTCTTGTTCTGTGTGCGTGTGTGTTATGTGTTAGAGAGAGGAAGTTGAGTGGGTTGGGGGTGGGACCCACCTGTGGGTATGTTGTTGAGGATTATGTAATGTTCAAAATACTGATTGGAAAAAAAATGATTTTTTTTAGTCTTTGGATCACCCGATCTGATGGCTATGATTTATTCTTATTTCTTTCATTGAGCACATTTCTCACCGGAATTCATATATATATATATATATATGGAATGGTTCAGATGCGCCCCCTTTTTAAAAGTGAGGACGTGAGACCTGATCTTGTCCGTTCACAACTCATCTAATCTAACGTTCATAATTAATTTATTACATTAATTAATATTTCGCGGGCGGTTCATCTTCAGAACTCTCTACTTTACTTTCCCTCTCTATTTTCGAACTTGCTCCTTGTTTCTGTTCCATTCTCTTCCATTTTCGATTCCGATTTTTCTTTTCGTCTCAATTTCTGTTTCCGTTTTATCGTTAGGAGTCTATTGTCGCAGATTCTCGTCTTAATCGGTGAGTCACTACAAGAAATTACACATATTATGACGAAAATTCATGTGACAAAAATAAAATCGTCACAATTGGCTATGTTATGGTGACGAATTATTAAAATCGTCACTAAATCATTGCATACAACGACGACTACTACATTCGTCATCTTAGAATTTGGTTTTCGTCACATAATCATAAATTTCATGACAAAACATTTCAATCCGTCGCCTCTACATCTAAATTCGTCACGTTTATATGAAAAGTGACGAAATTCCATGTGACAAATTAAATGTCGTCATTTTTTTTTGTGATTTACTAGGACGTTTAGGACTAATTCGTCATTATATAATTTTGTATTGTGACGACATATTACAATACATATAGATTCGTCATAGTAATACATATCATGACGAAATTCAATGCGACACAATAAAGGTCGTCGTTTATTTTTGGTATTTACAATGACGATTACGACTAATTCATCATTGTATAATTTTGTATTGTGACGACATATTACAATACATATAGATTCGTCACAGTAATACATACCATGACGAAATTCAATGCGACAAAGTTAAATGTCGACTGAATTTACGAGGAAGGTCTGAGGCACGAAGTCTTAACGTCGTTTTATTTGGTAATTACAATGACGCTTACGACTAATTCGTCATTATATAATTCTGTATTGTGACGATATATTATACTACATCTAAACTCGTCACAGTAATACATTTTATTACAAAATTTAATTCGACAAAATAAATGTCGTCTTTTTTTTTTTTTATTTGCAATGACGGATACGACTAATTCATCATTATATAATTATGTATTGTGACGATATCTTATAATACATCTAGTTTTTCAAGTTGTCATATTGCAGTCACCAAACAGTTTATAGCTAGCTTTTGCTACAATTGACAATGCATTTTAAAACATTGCATATTTCATTTTATATTCTAAAAAGTCAGATAAGAGCCTTTTAGCCATATGCCATCTAATGTTTTATTTAAAAAAAAAAAAATCGTTCGCAGTGATGTTAATATATTAAAGGGTAAATTGCTGTTTTGATACCCAAAGTAAAGGCCATTTTGAAATCAGTACCCGTTTTGAAACTTGTACTAAATTAGTACCGAAACTTTCATTCTGTTAGCAACGTTAGTACCCGACCGTTAGATGTCCGTCAAATTCCCGTTTGTTGTTAACGGAAGTGGTCAAAATGGAGAGAAAATTGTATTTTTTGGGCACTTGATGAAACCTATATATTTAATAAAGCATATGTACCTATTTTTTTTTTTCAACAAAAAAGTGCAGTTCCATCTTTTAAGTAAGAAAATAAATTAAAAAAAAAAATTGACAAAAAAAAGGCAAATCCAATCCAACTCCCTTCCCTTTCACTCAAAACCCATCATTTTTTTTGGTCACAACTACAAATACATCATCATCCTTCACATCACCCAAAAAAAAAAAAATCCTACAAAACAAAACAAAAAAATCAACCATCGAAAATGGAGATCAATGTCGAAAACGGGAAACCCATAGAAACTCGCGACGAACAAGAACACGACACGACAACCCCACTGGTCGTCAATAAGGCCCTTCTGGCAGTCAAGCTGCAATTTGAGTAATCGACCTGGATATTGAAAAGCATGCGGTGCCAAGTATCGGCTAGCCTTTGTAGTCGAAGCCGTGCAGCTCCTTCATTTGGAGTACCAGCCCATGCCCATTCATGTACTATGTGTACCTGTATATGTAAAATGCAAGGTTGATATCAACCAATGACAGAAATAAAATAGTTAACAAACAAAGAACAATAGCAACAACATAAAAAATGGTTTGCTAAAAAGAATTAGGCAGCAAAAACATACCTTGACTTCTGATTTCTTGACAGTCTTTATCATAAATCTATCGTCTTGTGTCAACTAAAAGAAACTTCCACTCTTCCCAGGAGAAGAAAATTCGCAGAGAATCATTTCCACAAATGGCAGACATGTAATCCACAGGATCCACTTGAAATAGCTCGCGTAATTTCCTGATAAACCCAATTAAATAATTTTCAATTTTCAGTTTCATTAACCAATGTATCCCAATAAAGCTAGCAACTTTAAGAACACATCTCACACAATTGCAGCAAAGAATAGCATTTTTTAACCACATATGTGATAACTGATAACCTATTTAAGAATAAATACCTAAGGACAACTGGGCAATAATCCTTCCACCGAAACTCAGGGGACTGATGCAGAGGCGTAATTTCCGACCCCTCAGGGGGAAACCTCGTCCAAACCTTCTCCGTAGGATCAAAATCAGTCACCTTAAGCTCTCGCAATATCGAAGCATACTTTCCCACAGTATACCTAAAGCAATTTACATTAAAAACCACATAAACACCATAACAGAAAAAAAAAANCATAACAGAAAAAAAAAAAAAAAAAAGCTTGCTAAACTAGAATATACATAATGGATTTCAAATACTTTTACCACCGCTTGCTCACTGACAGCACAACTTCTCCAATAATCAAGTAAGGGCTCGTTTTTGTTAGCATAAACAAAAAAGTATAATTTTTATTAGGGGTATTGAATTAAAATGTAGAGATTGAATACAATATATTGATAATAATAACCAATTAAGGGTTCGTTTGTTAACCTAGACAAGATAGGACAATTTTTATTTCGAGTTTCAAGATTAAATTGTGGAGATCGAATATGTTGTGCATTTGATGTCTATGACTGTTCCGAGACAAGATTTCATTTTTTCAAGGTTTAGAAAATCAATATATTTTAAAATTATCATAATTATTAATAATATTGAAGGAACTCCCTCCTTTTGACTGATTCTCACTTTCCCCAATTGTTTAAACTCTAATTAAAGAAGTGTGCCCCCCTTTCGTCAGGTAACGGTGTTGTAAAGAATCGGTTTCTAGCGAACTAACTAAAAACCAGTCAACGATCGGTTGAATCAGTCGAAATCAGTCAAAATCAACTAATCAAATCGGTTTTCAACCAGTCCACTGTTTTTAAAAATTAATTTAATATATATAAAATATTTTTTTATATAAATAAATAATACATATGTAACTATAATTAATGTGTAACATTTGAATGATTCAAATTGACATAATATTTAATTAACAAATTTTTGTATATAACAAGTTTTATTATAAACAATATTATGCAATATGCCTTACAATAACATAAAATTACTAAAGTGCCATTAAGAAAAATAAAAGAAAAAAGCAATTGGTTTTTTAGCCCAAAACCACATATATTCATCTCCTTCCCAATATCTCGACAGTACCCCCAAATCGCAGAACAATGCCAACTTGCAGCTCACTAATTCGACCTAGCCAAAATTCAGCTCAATAATCCACAAATGCCCAAATATCTCGACACAAATAATCTCAATTTCGATCCCATCTCCCAATTTCAACCCAAAAGTTCATCAATTTCTTGAGGGAATAAGAATAGAATCCTCCGCCAAGATTGATGATGTCTTCCACCTGGTGCTCGAAGTCGTCGGCGAGGACGAGGACGGAGGCGGCGGTCGTGCGTTATACAAAGGTCTACGAGGCAGCGGAGGGTGAGGTTTGGGAGTGGAGCGAGTGGACGACCGAGTCTGCATCTTGGAGGAGCAGGTGTTGTGGCCAAGGGACTGACACTTCTCGATGGAGGTCAGGTCATCGGTCACGCCGGTGCAGAGGCTCGGCATGCCTATGGTGATCGGGCACCACAGGTTCGGGTCCATTTTATGCTCATATCAATTATCCCTATTTTTCGGTTTTTTGTTAAAAAAATTAGCTTAACTAAGGGTATTAGGGTTAACTTTGGCCAATCCTATTAAAACACTCGCGGAGAAAATTTTTGATTTGGCGCTCACTACCTCGTTTCATTTTGGTACTCTTATCTATTTAAGGTAGATAAGACTGAATTAAATGTGATCGTATCTTCTGCTAATATCTCTCCTCTCCCTCTATATAATTAGTTCAATATTACGCAAACAATTAACAAAGTTATAGCCCGCCTTCTCTTTTGCATCAGTGTGTTCTTGAGGAACTCGAGGTCTGCAGACTCTAGATTTATCTTGCTTCTTTATGTTTACAGATTTTTTTACCCAATAGTAGATTGTTTGGTTGTGCCTTACATTAATTTTGAATAAATATATACTTGGCTACTGTTATTCAAGTTTTTCATTCTTTTTGGATGGATTTGTTTTTGCCTCAAACTTTGATTGGTTTTTTTTGCCTCGTACAGATTGTTTCAGATGGCTCCGGGATTAGTTCGGAATCCAAAAGCAAGAATCATACCAAATAATTCTCGGCAGAGTCTCAAAGAACACCTGACAAAGACAGGAGGTTTAACAAAGAGTAACACCCGGAAAACCGATATGGCATCCGACAAAGTGAACAAGGGTTTGGCAATAACTGATGGTTCGTTTATACGAAGCGAAAATGCGAATCCGACATTCGAGGGAAACATAGCAACTATTCAGCCTCAGCCTCAGCCTCCTCAAACTCAGCAAAAGGAGAGTACTCTTATGCCAGAAGTTCAGACTCCACAAACTCAGCAAAATGAATTGCAAAATCAAAGTCAGCCACATGGAAGCACTCCTGATTCTTCATCACACCAGGGAAATCAACATTCTCAATCACCTCAGGCCGATATCATTGGTACGTATCTAATACTCCGAAACCATTGTGATTTTAAAGTTCTAAAAACATGCTAAACATGCTGTAGGAACAGAAATCATTGGTATGGATTTTAATTTCTTGATTTTTTAGTTTTTTCTTCGAACCAGTACCCATTATTTCCTCTTTTGTATTCTTGCCTCCTTCAGTAGTAACATGTTGGATTTGCAGTGTAGAGCTTGGGTCCTTTGATTTTTATCAGCTGGGTATTTCTTCTGATTGGTGGAGTTATGTTTAGCTATGTTCTCTCAGCCTTTGTTATCCCTGTTGGTGTGTTAGTTGCCTTTAGCATCGTGTTGTTGTGTCTGTCATCTTGTTTTTTTAGCTTTGGTTTTTCTTTTTTAGGTGTTATGATAAAGTTAAACTTTGGACTATTTTTCCTGGTACTTTTTTTTTGTCTTTGCTGTGGGTTTGAGAAGCAAGGTTTGTTTGTTTATTATTATTTTTTTTAATCTGCTGCGGACTTTGTTTGGAATCTGAGCTGTTATGTCATCTTGTTTTTTTAGCTTTGGTTTTTCTTTTTTAGGTGTTATGACAAAGATAAACTTTGGACTATTTTTTCTGGTAATTTTTTTGTCTCTGCTATTTAGATCTGACAATTCCGTGCTTGAAAACTCCTGAGAGGTATGCAATTCACAACTTATCTTGATCATGTTATGTGGCATTAGATATCCCTGTTTGTATTTATTTATTGTTATTTTTTTGGAAGGCAAACAGAATGAATATGAAAGTTTGAAATGCAAATGATTTTTGGTTTGCATGTGAAATGGCATCCGTGCTGTGTGCACTATTGTGTTCAGTGGCATAATACTGTAATAATCATTGGTGATAGATCTCTTACTCTTTGCACATCTATGTCGTCATTATTTACTGATGGAATTTATACCAACAGTTAACAAATTAGTATATATATATAGCTTCTATCTATCAGCTGCCAATTCGTTACCTGCATGACTGGTATGGCTAATGTGTTGAAACTTGTGATCTTGTTACTGAGAGGGGAGGACGTAGAGAAAAGTCATACTAATTTCCTACTGGAGTTGTTATTAATAATTGCAACCCATATTTCAACGTCTAAGTGGTGAGCAAAACCAATTGTTATTACTGAGCAGTTCAAATGTCTATAAAAAAACTAATCATTTTTATATTAATTTATTATATAAAGTATAAACTAAAAAATGATGTTATGTACTCGATTTTTAAACATGTCAAAATATCTGAATGTGCAGGAAATAGAATGTGTTTGTGTGTGTTGGTATATATACAAGTATATTAGTTAAAAAAAAAAGTATATAAATTAAGAAGCGATTCTAAGGTATCATTTGTCATAAAAGTAATTAAAATTGGAAATTCTTAAAGAGGCTGTAGTTGTCCATTGCAAATGGAGTTCGAAGATTCATTGTTGACAATTCTCTCTGTTTTTAATGTGGTTTGTCAATTTGTAGTATGAAAATTTATCGTGTAGCATTCTTTGGTTAAGTTATTTGCTAGCAGTTGATAAATATGTCACTGAATCTACTTTGGAACTCCAGTGACTAGTATAATATAAAAAACATGCATGTTCTATTCTATATGTATACATGTGCCTTTGCCTTTCACAGTGTTTTGATAAAATACAGTCTTATGAGTAGGAAGCTTTCGACTAATTAAAATAACCATCATACTTATTGAGTGGTGAACATGCAGCTTCCAATAGGATAATGATTCTCTTCGGTGAGAGCGACCCAAATTCTCTCCGGTGAGAGCGTTCCTCTGGTGACCATTTTCGACCTCCTTATCCTTCCTTCGATACTCACTTCCTCTCGGTAATCATAGTGCTCAATCTATCTACTCTTGAAGTCCTTCTGTATTCAGTTAGGGTTACTCATGGAGGCCCATAATAGCATCGGACAAGATAAAGAGTTAGCTCAAAAACTTCAAAGTGTGTCATTATCAGCTAAGGAAAATGAATTCATTGACCTCGGCAAGGATGACATAAAGCTTAGTGCGGAAGAATGTCAACGTAGTTTGTTCGGAAAATTGGTTGGCGATAGAAAGGCCAGTTGGATTGGGGTTAAGCGGGCAATGGGCCACATTTGGAGGCTCAATCAACCCATGGAGGTGAAGGAATTGGGGCCAAACTATTACCAGTTCATCTTTCAGAGCAAAGAAGACAAAAACAAAGTTGCCAAAGGTATCAATTGGACATATGAAAACCAATATCTTATTATGTCAGAATGGAAAAGAGGCCTTTCAATCAATCACCCTACCTTTCAAGAGCTCTCGTTATGGGTCCAAGCTTTCAATATTCCTTTGGATTGGCTCAGCACTGAAGTTGGATTGAAAATTGGCAAGGTGTTCAAACAAGTTCAGAACGTAGTCATTGTGGGTGCAGGTAGCCATGGAGGCAGAATCATGAGGCTTTTGGTTTCCGTTGATTTGAAAGAACCCCTGCCTCGATGTGCAAACCTTAGAATTGATGATAAAAAAGTCAATGTGGGATTCAAGTATGAGAAACTGGTAAACCACTGTCACTACTGTGGTTTAATTGGCCATTTGGATAGGACTTGTTCCGCAAGGTTTGAGGATATCAAATCTCACTCATTGCTTGAAGGTCAATACGGAGCATGGATGAGGGCCAACGATAACCACCATTGGGCAGGAACTCACCCATCTGACTCTCAGAGCCCACCGAACACTAATAATGCACCATCCCCATCTCCTTCTCACTCAAGCTTTCATAAGCCATCTCCAGGCAATGACAGTAACAAAATTCTCTCCTTAGAAGGCTCTCCCTCTCAACATCACAAACCTGACTCAGAAGCTTCTACCTCTAACACAACCAGGAATTTAGTTCTGGTGAAACACAAGGAAGTTGCCACATCATCAATAGCCATTCAAGAATCTTCTTTCAACCTGCAAACCCCTGTTAACATCAGCAAGGATATGTATATTGAAACCCCGTTGATTGAAGCAACTCCAGAGAGGCATACTCAAATTTCAGTTACAGGGAAACATCAATACAAACCTAAAATGTGGATCAGAACAGAATCAAGAATGGGCAGGTTACTGAGACAACCTCATTCTCATAGTAACCAGGGAGCTAGTAATTTGGTTAAGAGAACCAGAGACTCATCTCAACTCAGCCATGAAGAAAGCAATCCTCAGATAGTAGAACAAAAGGAGAATAAGAAACAGAAAACTGAATCAGAAAAGGTGGGGGTGGCCAGCCTGGATTGGCACCCAAGTGACCAATGCTAGCTGTGGTGTGGAATTGTAGAGGGCTGGGTGGGCCCTCTACAACTTCCCAAATCAGAGAGTCATGTAGGACTCACCATTCAGCTTTTCTTTTTTTGTCAGAAACCAAAAAGACTGCAGCTTTTGTAAAATCTGTTACTAGGAAATTGAGTTTTGATTCTAGATGTTCAATAGTGGATCCAGATGGACTGAGTGGAGGTTTGCTTCTCTGTTGGTCCTCTGAAGTTCAAATTATCCAGATTGTGAAAAAAAATTTCTATATTGCTGTGGAATACAAACTGGAAGAATCTGACACAACTTGGGGAATCTTTGTATATATTAACACCAACTCTCTGATAAGACAGGCCCAGTGGGAAGAGCTAAAGGAGGATCAGCACTCATGGGGTCCTCTATGGCATATTGTTGGTGATTGGAATGATATTTGCACAGGGGAAGAGAAGAGAGGTGGCATCCCTAGGTCTTCTGCAAGTCTGTCTGGTTTCAACTCCTTCATCAATTCTATGCAGATGGAAGAAATAAAAATGACAGGCTACAGCTTCACATGGTGCAACAACAGATTTGCTGAAGGTTTAATTGAAGCTAAGTTAGACAGAGGTTTTGCATCACCTGATTGGTTAGAATCACACCCTCAAGCCTCTATCTCAAACATTGCCAAATCAGCCTCAGATCACTCCATGTTGATTCTCAAGTCAGGGAACAAAAAAGGAAGAAAGAAAGGAAGATTTCATTTTGACAAAAGATGGCTCTCTAGGGAAGGAATTGCTGCTGTGGTTCAAAAATCTTGGGATACAAAATTTTCTGGAACTCTTTTCTACATTTTAAAGGAGAAGGTCAAGGCTACTAGACAGGCTCTCCTCATTTGGAGTGCTAGTTTCAAATCTCAAAGCCAGTCAACAATAGAAAACCTATCCAAAAAACTGAATTCTCTGCAGCAGGAAGGTATTTCGGCCAATTGGGAGGAGTGGCTGACAACAAGGAAAGATCTACAAGCAGCTCATACATCTGAAGAGTTATACTGGCAGCAAAAAGCTAAAGTGAGATGGCTCCAAGAAGGGGACAACAATTCCAAATTCTTTCATGCTTACACCATGGTGAGAAGAAAACAAAATGCAATAACAAGGCTGCTTACAAACCAGAATTCCATTTGTGACACCCAACTGTCCATTCAGAATCATGTCACTCAGTTCTACTCTGATCTTTTCACCTTTGAAGGGTCCTGGGATGGAGATGCTATTCTTCCTCTTATCACACCTTCAATCACAGCAGACATGAACCAGCTTTTACTTCAACAAGTCACAGAAGAGGAAATCAGAACAGCTCTTTTCAGTCTACCAGCTGACAAATCCCCAGGAGAGGATGGTATGACTGCTACCTTTTATCAGTCCTTTTGGGATATTATCAAAATTGATGTGGTTTCTGCTCTTTCCAGTTTTTTAAATGATAAAGGTCTCATTTTGAAATATTGGAACCACACTATAATTACTCTCATCCCCAAATGCCTCAATCCTGAATATGTGCATCAATTCAGACCTATCAGTTTATGCACTGTTGTCTATAAGATCCTGTCCAAAATCCTAGCTCTCAGACTGCAAAAATGCCTAGATGTGTGTATCAGTGACTCTTAGTCTGCTTTTATTAAAGGGAGACAACTTATGGACAATGTCATCATTGGGCAAGAAGCTTTCCACTATCTGAATAGGCATAATTCTCACAAACATTGTTTCATGGCTCTAAAACTTGATCTTATGAAGGCATTTGACAGAGTTGAGTGGTTATGTGTTAAAAAAATCATGCTTCAGATGGGTTTTCACTTAGACTTTGTCAACTTGATCATGGTCTGCATCTCCACAACCTCCTTTTCTTTCAAGATTAATGGTGCAGTTAATGGTTATGTGCTTCTATCTCGAGGAATCAGACAAGGGGATCCTCTTTCTCCCTATCTGTTCCTTATTGTTGCTGAAATGTTATCTGCTCTAGTCAACCATGCTACTCAACTTGGTCATCTCACGGGCTTAAATCTTTCTACAAATGGCCCTGCTATTTCACACCTTCTTTTTGCAGATGACTCTTTATTTTTCTGCAAAGCTACAGTTGATCAGGCAAATTCTTTAATCTCCATCCTTGAGAGATACAAACTCTTTACTGGTCAAGCTGTCAACATGAGCAAGTCTTCCATCTTCTTTAGCAGGAAAACCCCTGAGGCTCTGCAGAATAGAATTTGTGATTCATTGGCAGGTATTACTAAGCACAGGTCAACCAAGTACTTAGGCTTGCCTTTGGGGATTGGCAGGTCCAAAGTAGACACTTTCCAGTACATCATTGATTCTGTCACTCACAAACTGGAAAATTGGAAATCAAAGCTCTTGAGTCAAGCTGGAAAAGCTGTTCTTATTAAGGCTGTGCTTCAAGCTC